AAGTCGGTTTGGCTCAGTGGAAGAGCGTCAGCCTGGGGACTGAGGGGTCCCGGCTTCGATTCCGGTCAAGGGCATGTACATTGGTTGCGGGCACATCCCCAGTGGGGGTTGTGCAGGAGGCAGCTGGTCAATGTTTCTCTCTCATCGACATTTCTAACTCTCTATCCCTCTCAATTCCTCTCTGTGTAAAATCAATAAAATATATTTTTTTTAAAAAGAATATGTTAACTCAGAAAATATGCATCTTGATATTTACTGAAGTAAATAAATTAACAAAGATTTTATCCATTTTCTCTTCTCTCTTTCTCTCCATATATATATATATATATATATATATATATATATATATATATATATATATATATATATCTCCATCCTGCTTAGAACTCTCAGGGCAGAGGGTGGGTAGTTTAATCTTTCTTTATCCCCTGAAACTGCTTATCTTATAGAAGTGTCTTTCTGTTTGTGACACAACCATAATATGAAGCTTTGGTTGTTTTCTGGAAGATTAAATGAACAAATAAACACAAAAATAATCTAAAAAGATAGCAAATTGTTAAGCTTATTAGGGAACTTAATCCTATTATAATATTCCTGAAACAGTTGTGGTATAATAAATACATAAGACCAACAAAAATTTCTATCTTAATGTTTTAGAGAAGGAGATAGATAAGGGACAATAAAAATAATGAATAAGTTACAGAGTAAGTTAAAAGGATACATCCTATGTTAAAACATTAAGGCAGGGTGCCAAAACCGGTTTGGCTCAGTGGATAGAGCGTTGGTCTGCGGACTGAAAGGTCCCAGGCACGATTCCAGTCAAGGGCATGTACCTTGGTTAAGTGCATATCCCTGGTGGTAGGAATGCAAGAGGCAGCTGATCGATGACTCTCTCTCATCGATGTTTCTAGCTCTCTATCCCTCTCTCTTCCTCTCTGTAAAATAATCAATAAAATATATTTTTTTTAAATCGAAAGAAGTTCTTTAAAAAAACAAAACATTAAGGCAAGGTAAGAAGATAGGAAATCCTGGGTAGTGGTGGCAGGTTAAATTTTTTTAATTAGCTTATTAAAATAGTCCTTATAGATCTATTAGATCTTTTTTTTTCCCATCAGTTTATGTATGTTGGGTGGGAAGAGAACAACCAATGAACTTGAATGCATATATACATAACTCATGGACACAGGTAATAAGGTGGTGAAGGCCTGGGGTGGGGGCCAGGGTTGGACTGGGAGAGGCCATTGAGGGGAAAAGGGGACAAATGTAATACTTTCAACAATAAAGATTTAAAAAATAAAATAGATAATATAAATATGCAAAAGAAAAAATAAAGTAGTTCTTATGAAAAAGATGAGAGTTGAACATAAGCTGGGAGGAGAAAGGACATTTAGTGGAATTAGAGTGTTCTGGGAAGTGGAGCAACTAGATCAAAGACCCTCACTCAGGAGCAAGCTTGGCATGTTGGGAGACATATCCTAGAGCAGATAAAGAAGAATATTAGGGGATGAGGTCAGCTGGGTAATGGGGCACAGATAATGAAGGGTATCATGGGGCATTTTACTCTGAATAAAATGGGGAACCATTGCAGGGTTTTGAATAAAAGGTAATGTGTATCTTCTGTTTTAAGTGGATTATGCTATCTATAATATGTATTGAAAATACATCATAGTGGACAAAGCTAGAAATAGGTAGGTATTTTCAGATGTTTTTGCCAATATTCAGACCATGGGTGATAGTGTCTCAGACTTGCATGGCAGAAATAAAGTGGTGAGACTCTAGATTAACTTTAAAGGTAGACCTAGTATTATCTTTTAACAAATATCATATAGAATATGAGAGAATGATGGGGGTCAAGAATGACTTCAAGGATTTTGTTCTTTGAAACTGAGAATATGAAGTGTGGGTTGGGAAGCCAATAAATTACACAAGTCAGGAGATGATTGGGAGTTCAGTATTTGATGTGTGGGATTTGGGATATATATTAGACTTCCACATTGATTTGTTAAGTTTAGAAATAAGACTAAATTTAGGGAGAGAGATCTGGGTAAGAGATACCACTTGGGGAGCCATTGTCATATTGATTGTATGGAAAGCCATGAGATGGAATTAAGACACAAGAGAAAATGCTCAAAGACTAAGCCTTTGGGAACTCCAAAAGGTAATAAAAAGGGTAGACATAAAAGATAAAGTAGCAGAAGGAAATAAGAAAGAAAATGGGGAAAATGATGAATAAAGCCAAGAGAATGTAACATCCTAGAAACCAAGTAAAGAACGTATATTAATTTTTCCCTTTAGTTTGTATATTTTATGACAATGGTCATCATTTGTTGAACAAGTACATTGATCTCACCTGATAGAACAATGCTTGTCCTTTCCTCTTGACCAGTTACAGGGTTTCGAAGGCAGCAAGTGACATTCTTAGGGGAGCTCTGTTTAAGGAGAAGGGTCATCTTCATGTTGAACAATTTATGTGTGTCCTGTGAATGGGATATGGATGTAGGCAGAATGATCTCTCCTCTGCTGTCTCTCCATTCCATTTGAGGCTGTGGGAACCAGCCTTCTGTACTACACTCTACCAAAAGACCTTTGGTATTAGGAGGATGCACAAGAATCTGTATTCCTAAGCTTGTAGCTGGTTGGAAAGAAAAGGAAAAACAATATTTTTACATGACGAAAAGGAGAAAAACAGAGAAAGAAAAGCTTGTGTCCCCCACTCTAATCCCTGTTCCATTAGCTCTACTGACAAGCCAAGCACTGTGGGGCTCTGATTGTCACCACAAACAAGATAAACCAGGCTGAAGGGTTATAGTTTACAAATTAACAACTCAGGGAGAAAATGCATGTTTGTTCCATTTATCAATTCAAAAATAGTATTTTTATTATTTACTACATCTAGGAGACTTAGCTATAAACATGGATATAATAAAGAACATAAACAGTCAAGACCTCTGTCCTTTTGAATTTATAGCTTACTGTTTTTTTTTCTTGAATCTTCCCCATTAGTCATGTTTGAGCTGCCATCAGTTATAAGTAAACAAATATAAATATGTTTAAAACTTTAATAACATTTTATGTGTATGTCTTTGCATGTAATGAGTATTTGCATAAAATGGGTAATACACTAATATTATAGAAATAAAGCAATTCATATCAGTTTAGAGAAAATAGTAGCTTTTGAAAAATTTCAATTCATTGTCTAGGACATCAGGCTTGCTTAAATGTGCAGACAAAGGAAGAATAACAGAGATTTAAAGCATTACTCTAGAGCAGCTCTGTTCAATAAGCTTCTGCAATGATGGGAATATTCTATATCAGTGCTGTCTGATACAGTAGCTATTTGCTACATGAGACTATTAAGCACTTGAGATTTGGCCAGTGAGACTGAGAATTTATTTGTAATTTTACTTAACTTAAATATAAATAGTCACATGAAGCTAATAGTTGTCATTTGGATAGCTCAACTCTAAGCAATAGTACTGAATGTCATAATCTCTATACATAAACCCTAATATGCAAATAGACCAAATAACTGGTCAGTATGATGTGCACTGACCACTGGGGGACACTCATGAAACATGGCGGGCATCAGCAGCTGGTGGCAGAGAGCGGAACATGGCAGGCATTGCCCATGGAGGGATGATGGAGCAGGTGAGCAGAGGTGCTAGACCAAGGTGGGGTGCCAGTTGCTGTGATCAGGGCAAGTCTCTGATGGTTACTGAAAATTCTTTGTTCCCACGTGCCTCTGTCCTGTCTGGTGCTCAGGCAGTTGGTGCCGGAGCTGCCACTCGGACCCACTGCTGGTGTCGGCCCCGCTCGCATCCACAGCTACTCGCACCTGCTGCTTGCGCCCAGCGCCAGTCCCATCGCTTGGCGCTGTCAGTGGGTGTGAATGGTAGCTGCTGGCCCTGATCACCCCTGAGGGCTTTTTCACCTCACCCTGCTCGTGAGGACGATTGAGGCAGTAGCTACTGGGCAGTGGCAGGCACAGTGGGGCCAGGATGAGCGGAGTGGCATGGTCCCTGGCCCAGGCTTGGGATCCTCCCAGGCCACCTGCTGCTTCACTCACTATTACATTCCTCCGGGGATGTTGGACTGTGGTGATCAGCCAAAACCAGCAGTCCAACATCATCTGAGGGGTCCTGGATTGTGAAAGGGTGCAGGCCAGGCTGAAGGACCCTATCGGTGCACGAGTATATGCACCAGGCCTGTAATATATATACTAATTATATATATATATGTATATTTATTAGTATATATATATATATATATATATATATATATATATATATATGATTGTAGATGAAGGCTTTTTGAAATAGATTTTTAAAAATTAGTCTGAAACTAAGTAGTCAGTGAATTGAGTGAGAAATGGGAATAAAAATTGTCACTAAGGCCGAAACTGATTTGGCTCAGTGGTAGAGCGTCGGTCTGCCGACTGAAAGATCCCAGGTTCGATTCCGGTCAAGGGCATGTATGTTGGTTGTGGGCACATCCCTGGTGGGGATTGTGCAAGAGGCAGCCGGTTGATGTTTCTCTCTCATCGAAGTTTCTAGCTCTCTATCTCTCTCCCTTCCTCTCTGTAAAAATATCAAATATATATATATATATATATATATATATATATACACACACACACATATATATATATATTTATATATATTTTTTTTAATTGTCACTAAGGAGACTATCATAAAGATTTAGGTAGTTTACAAAGTTTCACTAAAGTGTTGTCAGAAATAATTAAAAGCATAGTAATAAATCCTGAAAAGAGTCTTTTAATATTTTACTGATATAACAGTGTATATGGACATGGGAAAATAATTCTGAAAATGGTAATGTGTGCGGGAACAATTGCATTCTTAATCCTATACTCTTCTCAGTTCCAAGACTAAATGAATGAATTTAAACTTGCTAACCAAACCATGTAATATTCAGAAACACTGCGAATTTCCCTACTATCCAGTCCCAGATGGGTTGAGAATCATGGATGTGTAGAAACCTCAAAGAGATCCATCCCTACCTGTGACCTTCACGTCTGTGATGGCTTCTTCATCAAAATCACCATCTTTGAAGAAGCAGTGGTACTCCCCATGGTCATCAACAGTGACATTGAGGATCCTGAGGGTCACTTTACCCTCTCGGATAGCTTCTTTCCGCAGCTCTGTCCGCTCCACATACCTGGAGATAGTTTCTACATGCAGGTCTTTGCCATTGTTGTACAGGTAAACAGGTTGTGTATAGCGATCCCGGAACCAGCGTATCTCCATGTGTTCTGCATTTTGTGGTGGGGACAGCTGGCAGCTGAGCTCAACTATGCCACCAAATGGAGCCAAGATTGGCCCCTGTAAGCCAGTCACTATAAAATGTTCTGTGAATGGGGATGGTAAGCAAATAGTGAGAGTATTAGCTACACACACACACACACACACACACACACACACACACACAACATTCCACATGTTTCAGTGAGGTGTTAAAGGCCATTTTGCCACATTTACATATTGTAAAAATATGCAAATATATACATTTTATATTTATGTTCTTAATAATTCCACATTAATTTCTAACTTGACTCATAAGGATAATTTGAATTTCTACCATTCTAAATATCAGTGGTTTCTAAACATCCCCTACAAATGGGCAGAAGACCTGAGCAAACATTTCTCCAAAGAGGACATACAGCTGGCCAATAGACATATGAAAAAATGCTCAAAAACATAATCATCAGAGAAACCCAAATCCAAATCATAATGGTGGGTATGTAACATTATGATCCACCTGGCAAACTTACATATACTGGTGGTGGAAATGTATGTTGGTAACTATTTCAAAAGAATATTTGCAACATAATAAAATAGCACATAACCTTGACCAGCAGTTCTATGCATAGAAATATTTCCTACCTATATACTCAGAGGTTTTGTCAAATGCATGTGTAAAATGTTCATAGAAGCATTACTTTTATCAGCCAAAGACATTATACCAAAAAAAAAAATAATAATAAAGTGCACCAGTAAGATTTCTACTATTTAACAGGTAATTTTACTAGAAACTTTATCTTTTATGCCATTTATTGTCTCAGGCTTTGCTTATATTTGTCTCTAAATACACTATATTTATTTCTGCTTTGCATAGATCCCCTTACAAAGGCAAATTTTATCATATGTTGGCTCCCACTAGCCTATTCCTTCCTTCCTCATTGGATGCCCCACTGCATTGATAACTCACATGGATTCCAACATGGATCCCTATCCTAGACCACTTCTTCGCTGTGTAAGTGACACATATACTAAGTCTCCTCAATATGAATATTGGGTTCGCAAGGGTAAATATTAGGTCTTCTTCATTTGTTTCTTCTCCCAGGAATTTAACACAAATCCAGGGACATGATAAGGAAGACTTACTGATTAGAAATAATTTTTTCCAGCCATTAGCTGAATCCTATAGTACATGTCCTCATTATATAATTATGTGTTAAACCTGAGGAACAATGGTCAAAAGAGCTTAACCCTTTTCTTTGGTCCTTGCTTTTTCTGACATACTTTATACTGCCATGGCTCATGCAGGTAGAAGAGAGGGTCATACCTGAACTTGGTGCTATCATCTGAAGGAGGAGCATGGGAACAAAGTATCTGCTGAGAGATGGTTCTGTAGTTTCCATTACACCTGTGATAACAAGTGAGGAGGGTTCAGAAACAGCCATAACAGGAGTAAGAATTTTCAGAAAGCACGTATTTTAACATGTTGTGTTTTTTTTAGGCATTAATAAACTCTCAAGTAGTGTTGCTAGACAATGTTGTAGGAGTGCTGTATGAGTCCCAGTTATCTGAATATCAAATCAAGTAATGGAGATAAGAACGCTCAAATCTATAGAGAATTTTTATGAGTTTGTGAGCCAAACTAATACATATGTGTGGCTCATATGCTCACATGCTCTGAAGAATAACAGTTTTGCAGCTTCTTTTGTATATTCAGAATTAAGGAGGGGACATAGGAAGATTACATGAAGGTGGGCAAAAGCAAGGTGGGGGTTGGTTTACAGGATAGCTAACTAGATTATGGGCTCTCATGATGTTTGCATCTTATTTCAAAGTTATGTTAACCTAGATGTACGGAAACAATGTACAGAGCTTCCTTAGGCAAAGATAAACCTTGTACCAGAAAGTTATATGCTTGGGGCATGATGACCCACCATGACTTGCTTAATTAGGAATTTATGACCAGACACCTTGTATGAGGTTACTTTCAATAGAACCTCCCTTTTTGTCCTCACAGTGAATAACTCTGTTATATATATTTCCCACCCAATTTTTGGTATCCTGCAATATTTATTTGCTAGATCTGGAAACTCCAACTCTTTTTAAAATTTTATTGATTTTTAGCAGAGGGAAGGAAGGGAGAGAGAAAGACAGAGAGAGAGAGAGAGAGAGAGAGAGAGAGAGAGAGAGAGAGAGAGAGAGACTAGTTACACATCTAGGTGACTAGGGAATAACATGCATAAGAATAACATTTTTTTTTGTGCCTGAACAAACCAGATTCCAGAAATTCAGCCCAACATTTGCTGTAACATGACACTGCAGACTTTCAAATGACCCACAAAGAAACCATGAGAAAAGACTTTCCCTAGAGGGGACTGGGATCCCTGTTCATACTATCTCACTAGTCCATAAATATATCTGTCAAGTCCCTTGAAATGACAGGTGGTCTCCCAGAAGGCACAAAGAAGAGGAAGGGATGGAAGAAGTGCTGACCATCTCCGAACAGAGAACTCAATCTGAAATCTTACACTTACCGGAGTTCCTGACGCAGCTCTCCATTGTCCCTAGAGAACGACAGTGCCAGAACCAGGCAGAGTACTAACAAAGCTCCTTCTCACTGCTGCCCTACACCTCTGAGCACCTGATTCTGCAGTGCTATCCTTATGTTCCTTTTCAAGGGAAATTCCAGGGAGACTGGCTGTTCCAGTCTGAGGATAGGAGTCTTTGTTCAGCTTTAGTGATTGCAGCTGGTATCGCTGTACCGACATCACAAGTACTAACAAGACTTGCCTCGCTCCGAAAGGAAGCACCACCCAATATGATTTTTGTATTCTATATAACTCATAATGAATAAAATGGGTATGATCAAGAATTTATTTTGAACACTGTCCTGTACTTAGAAAAGAAAGAAAAATAACTATGGAGACACAAATAAAAGACACTAAATTTAGATCAGGCATTTAAGGAAGGTGATGATGACTAAGAGGAGTCTTGAATAACATGAACAGTTAGCCATTTAAGAAGAGAAGCTGAGGAGCAGATTAGGTTTTCTAGTCTGAGGGAGAGATAACTTACAAGGCATTTGAGAGAAAATGTTCAATTTAGAAAACTTTAAGTAGTTTACTGTTGCTACAATGGGAGATATGATCAGAGAAAGAGGTGAATGAGTTGTACAGAGAAACAAAGGCAAAATTGTGGCATGAATGTTAAGAAATATGTGTAATATATACTTAAGTATATATAGATTCACAAATATTCATTCATAATTCTCATAACTATAAATAATATACATATATGAGTACTAAAATATATAGCTACATATATAAGCATATACATATACATATATGTATATACTAGTAGTTATAAAGAATGGTATCTTTTTGCACATATGATTGCATAAATATAAATGTAAATGTAAATATATATCATATTTATGTTTTATATTCATACATATCCTAATTGTGTATATATGTACAATATACAGGGGCAGGCAAAGTAGGTTTACAGTTGTGAATACACAAAACAGAGCTTATTCTTATATTATTAATTACTAATTATTGTATTATTTATTTGTATCACAACCATAAACACTTTTGCCTACCTTGTATATGTGTAAATGATGATATCCTATATAATACAAGGGTAATATGCAAATTGAACCTAAAGGCAGAACAATCAGGAATGACTGTTGCTATGATGGGCACTTACCACCAGGGGGCAGACACTCAATGCAGAAGCTGCCCCTTGGTGGTCAGTGCGCTCCACCAGGGGGAGTTCTGCTCAACCACAAGCCAGGCTGATGGCTGCTAGTGCAGTGGCAGTGGCTGGAGCCTCTCCCATCTCCTTGGCACCATTAAGGATGTCTGACTGAGGCTTAGGCACCCTGGGGGAGTGGGCCTACGCTGACAGATGGATATCCCCCAAGGGGTCCTGAACTGCAAGAAGGGGCAGTCCAGACTGAGGGCTCCCTGAATGCATGAATTTTTGTGCACTGGGCCTCTAGTATATATACACACAGTATGTCTATAATACACATTTGACTATGTTTATACATACACAAACATATGGACTATACAGCACATATAGACATATGTGAGATAAAAACATACATATACATATGTAAATCAATGATGGGGACAAGTACAATGAAAAGCTAAAGTAGTGGCAGGGCAGACAACGCATAATTAGAACAATTTGAGATCTATTTGGGATGAGGCATTGATAGCTAGAACATATGGAATAGGGAAGTTAAGGGAAAGGAAGACTGAGGGTCTCTCCCAGAGTTCAGCATTTAACTGACCAGATGAATGGAGAGAATATTTTTTGAAGTACGGCTTAAGGGAAGAAGAGCAATTTTAAACATGAGAGTAAAATGTTTATGTGTATATATGCTTGTGAACAAGCTTGGTTTGGAACAGATTGATTGGAATGCACATTGAATCCTTGGGAGATTTTGTTTATAAGGTACTTGATAGTTTGGGTCTATAGCTCATGGGTTCATCTTTGATCCCCTCTTAACCTGTTAACCGGGGAGTTCCCTTTTTAATTATACAACCTGTAATGGGCACATACTCTTTCACTAGGACGTGTCAGTACGTCACACCCAGAGGACGTAATTTCATATTATTATTTTTTATTTATTTATACTTAATTAAAATAAATGATATATTTATTTATTTATTTATTTATTTATTTATTTATTTATATATAAAGCACAAAGGAAAATACAAAATTACAAAAAAAAATAAAAAAGAATACCAACAAAAAAATGGAAACATCAAATTAAAAAATTATAAATTTTACAAACAATTATAAAAATTACAAAAAATATATACCATCCCTCTCAAGGCGCAGCATATATTTCCAGGACATATTCATACGTCCTACCCGTTCCCGATATTGTTTACGTTTGACGTATTTATATGTCCTGCTCGGTTAACAGGGGATGAAACTCCTCTGTCTCAACAGAACATCCATTTACGTTACAATTCCGATATGTTTCTCTATCAGGCTCTGGAGATCACACATTTGAATCAACTAGGGAATATTTTAAAGCAGCTTTGGAGTGGGAAATACCATTAGCTTTATTTATTTATTTGTTTGTTTATTTTTTGTTTTGTATCAATTTTTAATTGAGAATAAATTCACATAACATAACATTTACTATTTAAAAGTGTACAAATAAGTGGTTGTTAGTATACTTACAGTGTTGTACAACCATTATCACTATCTGATTCCAGAATATTTTTGTCACCCTAAAAAGAAACACGTGTCTCCCAATTTCCCCCTGCTTCCATCCCTGGCAATCACTGACCTTCTCTGTTGATCTTCCAATTCTGGACATTTCATATTAGTGGAACCATAGAGTATGTGGCTTTTGTGGCCTGCCTCTTTCACTTAACAAAAATGCTTTCAAAGTTCACCCACGTTGTAGCAGGTATTAGTACTTCACTCCTTTTTGTGAGTGAACTAGAGATCCGCTGCACGAAATTTGTGCATGGGGTGGGGTGAGGGGGGGCGGCCCCTCAGCCTGGCTTGCCCCCTCTCACAATCTGGATCCACTGGCCCCTAACCACCTGACTGCCTGCCTCATCACCCCTAACCACTCCCTCTGCCTGCCTGATTGCCTCTAAACCCTCTGCCTGCCTGCCTGATCACCCCTAACTGCCTCTGCCTGGGCCGCTGCCATTGCAGCTTAGTCTGGAAGGACATCCAGAATGATGTCCAGAAAGTCATTTGGCTGTCCAGTCTAATTAGCATATTACACTTTTATTTTTATAGTGTTCCATTTATGAATATACATCTTTTAAAACTGTTAACTCATTAACAGATTTTATTGTTTCCATTTGTACTTTCCATCCTTCATTATAGTGATATTCTTTTTTAAAAATTTGAACTATGATTAACATATTGATATAAATTTAAGACATATGTTGATTTGATTCATTTATATATTACAATATGACTACCACCATAGCATTAGCTAACACCTTTATCCCATCTCATATTGTCATTTCCTTTTTGTGGTGAGAGTGATTAAAATATAGTCTCACAGGAACTTTGAAGTTTATAGCACAGTTGATAGCTGTGATGTGCATTTAGATCTCCAGAACTTGTTTATCTACTATTACAAGTTTGCACCCTTAAACAAAATCTTTCTGATTTCCCAAATCCTCAGCTTCTATTTGATTTCTTTACATTCTGTTTTTTTTTGTTTGTTTGTTTGTTTTAGATGCCATTGGTAAGTTCTGAAGTTCCCTGAGATGATTTAATTGTTAAAAACTATGTCTTCATAGCTAATAGATAGTTCTGACACACACTTAGAAATTTTGAAGGCTTTGACAGGAAGCATTTGAAAGGCAGAGTAATGAAGTTTTCTGAATTGCGGGTATTGGGAAGGGTATTGGAGGTATTCCAAATCCTATAAGCTCTGCTATTGTTACTCTCTAGTTCTGAGTGTGGGATTGCACTGTTAGGAAGAACAAGTTTCATCTTGCAAAGAAATGGCTTCATGTGCTGTTATCTCCATCTGCTGCATAAGGTAATGAGAACACTTGTTTTCATTCTCTGTTTACAGAGCCAGAGTTTCATCTTGGTTGATATGAAAATTCTGCCCAGTGGGATCGGGCTTAAATGGGCAGTCAGACATCCCTCTCACAATCCAAGACTGCTGGCTCCCAACTACACGCCTACCTGCCTTTTCTAACCACTTCTGCCTGCCAGCCTGATCACCCCCTAACCACACCCGTGCCAGCCTGAATGATGTCTAACTGTTCCCCTGCCATTCTGTTTGCCCTCAATTTCTCTCCTCTGCCGGCCTGGTCACCCCTAACTGCCCTCCCCTGCAGGGTTGATCACCTCCAACCACCCTCCCTTGCAGGCCTGGTGCCTCCCAATTACCCTCTTGTGTCCACATGGGGGCAGAATCTTTGACCACCGGGAGACAGTTATCTTGTGTGTTGAAGTGATGGTCAATCTGCATATTACTCTTTTATCAGATAGGATAGAGGCCTGATGCAAGGGTGGGGGCCAGCTGTTTTGCCCTGAAGATTGTCCCGGAACAGGGTGGGGGTTCCCTTGGGTGTGGGGTGGCCTGAGTGAGGGGCCTGTGGTGGTTTCCAGGCCATCCACGCCCCTGGTGACCCAACCAGAGGTCCTGGTATCTGGAATTTATTTACCTTCTACAATTGAAACTTTCTAGCCTAGAGCAGAGCCAAGCCTCCGTGGCTGCCGCCATTTCTGTTTGGATTTTTTTACCTTCCTTTATTGAAACTTTGTAGCCTTGAGTGGAGGCTTAGGCCAGCAAGGGCAGGCAAAAAGCTTGACTTTTTCCATTGCCTGGGAAACCGAAGCCTCCCTCCTGCTCTTTGTGGCTGTAGCCATCTTGGTTGGGTTTATTTGCATATTTGCTCTGATTGGCTGGTAGGCGTGGTTGGTGGGCATGGCTGGTGGGCATAGTGGAGTGATGTTAATTTGCATATTACTCTTTTATTAGGTAGGATAAAATTGAATAAAATTCTCATCAAAATGTACAATTTCCTCCCATTAAAATTCAGTGT